TTTTTATAACTTTTCTAAAGTGTCTTATTTTCTTTCCTGTACTCACTGTGTAGAAAAGTTGGTTTTGGACAGATGACTTAGTGCCCTGGAAGACCTATGCACTCCGAAATTGCGTCATTGGGCCTCCCTCCCTTTGGTCTGTCACAAAATTGTTTCTCTCTGTTTCAAGGAACTGCTGTCAAATTCTTGCAAACCTGCCTGGTTATTCTGCTATCATACATGTACATATTAGCCAGAGCTCCTGCATGCAAAATTTTCTGACTGATAATTTTCAGCTAATTTGGCCATAGTCCCTGTTTTTCAATAACTGGAATTATACTTAAAACAGAGTCAGACAAGGGGCTAAGGAGAAGGTTTTGTTGCTTCTAACTTCTCTGTGGAATCAAATATGATTCTTCTGTATAACTCTAATACTACGATATCTCAATCTGAAATACTCATTTCTATTTTGCTAAGCTCCTGTTCTGTGAACATTGCTCCTCTGTACCACAATTGTGCAGCAGGAAATTTGCTACCACTGAACTGGATGATTAAAAACAAGACAGCAATGCAAAATGTTCAGCTAAAAAAAATACAGTAGAACATCTACAGTGCTATTCAACTAATAGGTACTGCTTCCCTATGGTGGAGTTTGTGAACTCCTGCAAGGCTTCTGTAAAGCAAAACAGATGCCTCTTTTGTTCAAGAATGCTCAGCTGTTATATGACCTGCCCTTAAAATGCTTGAAAGAGAGGAAAAATACAGATGAGTTTTATGAAGTTGTTAAAGTCACTCATAATTTTCTAAATATAATTTTAGAAAATTATCTTTTCTTGTTCAATCAAATATTATGTACATTCTGTTTGAAACATAATTATATAGACTACCTGCCATATGCATGTACTTTGTTACTTTTTCTTTAGTCCCATTAATTATAAATGTGCCTTTGTTTATTAGAATTCTCTCCTTAGATTAAATGTGAACTTTTAGCTAAATGGTGATGTACAGCATGTTCCTAAATTCCTTGACATTGGAACAAATATTCAATTTTTGTCAAGAAAATCTCTGCTGTCCAGTTGAGCCATTGACTTTGTATTAAAAGCCTTCTCTGTAATGTTACTGTATGTTCATCGTAATAAAAAGTAGATCTGGCTTTCATACACACCCTGTAATTATTTTGTAAAAACATATACTATTATCCATACACCATATAGTTATGACATACTGACTGACATATAATCACCTCCCACTTTTCTCTACTCTTTCTGTTTAAAAAAACAGGCAAGAAATATTTTAATCAAATTATGTGCAAGGTATTTCTATTCTGTAATATATTTCAAACAATCCGGTATGTTCATTCTATGAGCAGAAGCTTTTCCTGAGATATTTTACATATTTATCCTAAAATCATAAACATAAATTTATCATTAAGATGGGTACTTGTTAGTTAGTTGATTTTTTTTTCCTATCATCAACTTTTACAAACTCCAAAATAGACAAAATCTTTCAGAGAATGCTTTTTATTATTTTTGTTGTTTCTGCACCATGAGGAGGATCTCTCTGCTAAGAATCAATCTCATATTAAAGTGAAAAGGCAATTCACGAACTAGGGAAGATGAGAATTTAATGCATATGATGCCCTCCTCCTCACATATACTGTGCTAGCTCGGGTCCCGGCACCTGACAGAAGCTTTGCCTTTCTCTTTTTGTGCACGGGTGCCTTGAAATGCCATAGTTTCTCTACACTTGTCATCCTGTTTTCTGTTTCAAAGGACAACTCAAGGTAGATGGTAAGGGCAATATACAGTGGGTTGGGTTAGTACATGATAGCTTTGTTTCACATCTAAGGTGTTGCTCTTAATTTAAAGATAATTCTGTAAAACTTGTGTCTCTAATCTGGTTTTACCCTCACCTCTGCTGTCCTCAGGTTATTTGTATTTTCAAATAGGACCTTACATAGAGAGTGTTCATAACATCTGGAGTTGTAATTGGCTTTTCCCATTGAGTGCACTGGGTTTGGGCAATCCATTGGACCACCTCTGAGAGAAGGCCATCAGGTGTTTTTTTTGCCCCTTCCCTATCTGCATTTTGCTAGCTGTTTTCAATGTCAAGCTAGATGTACTATTACAAATCACATAAAGCCCAGGCAGCTTTCTGAAGATGCTAAAACCTGCTTGTGTTATGGCTGCTGGCGAGATCATCAGCCTTGTATGGATTTTGCTGCCTCATACCTGAAGGCCCTGCAGGCCTTGTTATGATTTTCAGGAGGGCCTTCCACCAGCCCAAGGTGCTGCCCTGTTTGAAGAGTGAGGAGGTGACAGCTATGTAAAGCATGTAGTGTGTGCGCGTGTGTATATATACATATGTGTATATATGTATACACGAATGCATGCTCTATAACCTTTTTATAGTTTTCCCTTGCAGTAAACCCTCTTCCCAATTCTTCCTAAGATGGTCATATAAAAAGTACAGATAAGCAGCTATAACACAGAGGCATGTTAAAGGGCAGATACTCAAAATATAATTACCTTATATCCATTTTTAAGGACCCCAAGTTATTTTGGATTTTAGGGTGTTCACATAAATCAGATAGATCACTCCCTTAAATTCTCATATTTCCTTTCCACTTTCCTGTATTACTGGCCCTTGATCACATTCAGATGTGAATGTGTGAATGCAGGGAAGGATTTATGGTGAATCTCTCTATGCATAATTTTTGCATGATAAAGATAAGTTTTGAGCCTGAGTACTTAGGTTTAATATTAGCTTTATATTTACATGAAACTGTTGAATGTCAGTGCAAGTAAGGTTGAAAGTATCTCTATGCTTCATAGGTTCTTTTGATAAATTCAGTGATTGCTTTAAAAAGGCTAGTGCTCCTCTCACCACTGGATGTCTTTCTATCGCCTGTGTGGCTGTTGAAATCTCTATGAAAGTATTTATAGGAGAATACATTACTCAAACTTACAGCTTTCCAGCTGCATTATACATGTTTGCACATCCATTGGAAAATTTTTGAGATCCATTGGACAGGACAGTATTAAAGTCAATCTGAAAGAATACAAAACATATATTAAAAATATACGACAAAAATAGCGCAGGAAGAGTGCATCGGAACAGTTGGAATCATTAGAAACTGAAGCAAACACAATTTTTCCATTAAATAACTCTGAAAATGGCTAGGTATTAGATGACCCTATTTTATTTCCATAGTCTGTGATGACAAAAACTGTGGAAAAATGCAGAAAAAGCCAATTTCATACAGACTTTCAGAAGAATACATTTTTCAACAGGGTTGCCTAACTTTTTGGAATGGCTGAAGGAATGCAACAACAGCATGCTGCTTTTTTTTTTGTGATAGAGCAGAATTATTGTACTTTTACAGTATTTTAAATCCTTGGTATAAAATGTACCCAGATTTACAAGAATTTTACAACAGATGTCAGCTGCAAATCATGCTGGCAAAGTAATTTATGTGTTATTGTCCTAAAATAAGGTGCTTATATCGTCAACACAAAGGTTTAAGATGACTTCTTAGGGTATTGGTGGTAGACTGAAATATGCCTGCAATTTTGAACAGCAGCTGTGTTTTGTGCTAGCCATGATATTTCTTGCTGAGTGCTTTGCAGTCTTTAAG